ACTACGAAGTTCAACAGAATACTGTAACAAAGTGAAAAGGGTCCTCCCGGCTCCGTTTTCTTGGGGAAAGCACTCCACTCAGGATGCTCAGCGCTCCGTGCGACTTTGCTTTCCCCGGCGCCTCCCGCTTCCAGCCACAAGGACACAGGCCCCGGACTCCCACGGTGGCTGGTGACCACTGTGCAGCAGCAGCAGCAGCAGGATGCCCGGCCCCACGTGGCACCCAGGGCCACAGCCCCACCACCCAGGGGCGCGGACCTGACGGGCGATGCCACTGGCCAGGGAAAAGGAGCTTCTGGTGGAATCCACTTCACACATTCCTGAACAGCCTCTGCCACTGCGGTTCCCATGGACAGTTGAAGCTATTCTCGCAAAAGCAAACATCCTTGCTAGGCTAGCTGACTTCACTGAAAGGGGAGCATGTGTGTCACAGAAACAAAGATAAACTGAGCTCATTTTCCTCCTACAGAGCTGTTGTGGTATTTGTTGTGGCCCCAAACTGTTTCTGCTCCATTATATCGACTTGGGTAGCTAACAAAACCAGACCTACTGGAGTAGAAATCTATTTATGTATCTTTATATAACATGTTGAGCTTTAAAATGCTTGCTTTGGCTTTCTGGAGCTTTGCACAGGTATTAAACCACAGAGCGTTTTTGCAGCTATAACCTCTAAATTAGCACAAGAACTAGCACTTTCTTTGCTTCTTTTACTTGCTTCTCATTTAAAGAGAGATATTAAATTTGTGCATTAACATATACCGAAGCACTAGTGTGTTAAATAGGCATAACGACCCAAGTTGATTACACCTCAGATTTTTTTATAGATTCATTCCTAAGACTATTAATAAGTATATTTAGCAAATGCAGGATTTACTTCAGAATATCACCATTCTTCATATCTTCACCGATTAAAAATTGAAGCTAAAAATACATTTACAACTTCCCTGCAGCGTATTTCCTCCAGATCCAACAAAAAAACCCAACCAACACAAACAACTGTGATTAATGCTTCAGTTTCTAATGGGCAGTGAGATGAACACCATAAAAAGAAACTAAGGCTTAATATTTTTCCAGCTACCCTCAAAACACCAGAGCCTAAATCAACTCTTGTCTGGTCAGTTGGGACTTTGCAAGTTCTGTATCTACCAAACCACATGCTGCCAGGAATAGCATAAATCTTAAAGCTAGGAATACAAGATGATTTGGGGTTTGGACTTTTTTTTAAGCTACTGAAAGCCCCCAAAATTTACAAGGTGAAACAGTTCAAACGGCTTTTAGCTTTCAAAATGAGCACAGATGTATTTATTCTGCTGTGTATACACAGAGTGTTTGAACAAAAAAAGTTAGTCATAGGTCAGACAATAAAACCTACTACGACTACACCCTGCACTTGAAGGAAAAGTGAAAGATCGATTTCTGCTTCAGCCAACCGAAGCAAGAGAAGAAAGTGAATTTGCCCTGATTCTGTTTACTAAAATCCAGCAACTTCCTACGGTCCATCTGACATGTAACAAAATGCTCTTGGACAGTTGGAGGGAAAAAAAAAAAGAAAAAAGAAAAAAGGAAAAAAAAAAAGGAAAAAACTCCTACTGCTGGCCAGGCTTTGCAAGGGGCACATCCCGTGCACCTTGTTCAGCACATGCTGATGGGCAGCAGCATTTTCCAGGTCCCCATGGCTTTCATACACACACATATATACACACACACACATATATACACACACACATGCACACATGTACATATATACACACACACACGTACATATACACACACTCGTACATATGCACACACACAGAGCATCAGAAGATGGAAGACAGCATCTTGCAGGCCCCGTACGAGCACCAACCACCGAACTACTCGTTTTTCGGGATTACGGCACCAGGTTGACGCTTCGCAGCGTGCCCGTCCCCGGGTCCCAGCCCTCCATTTTGTCCGGCGCCTCAATTTAAACGTCCCCGCGGCCGCGCAGCTCGAGGCGGCACCCGGGGCTCCCTCCGGGACGCCGCGGGCCGGACCCTCGGCGGAGCGCGGCGCCCGCCCGCCCGCTCCAGCTGCGCGCTTCCCGGCGCGCTTCCCGGCGCTTCCTCCCCCTCCTCGAGCGTCCCCGCTGCCCCTCGTGGGAGCGAGCCCGGCGCGCAGGCAGCGCCGCTCGCCTGCCCTGCCCGCAGGCAGGTGGATATCCATTCCCTCGGGGTGGATGGAGGTGCCGGCGGGGGCGCCCCCTTCTCCTTACCCGGCGCGGGCGCAGAGGCGGCCGGGGCCGCGGCCGGGCGCGCGGACATGTGCGGCGCGGGCCGGCGCTCGCCTCCCCTCCGCCCCGCTGCCCGCCCAGCCCGGCCCGGCCCGGCCCGGCCCCGCCGCCCCCCCCGGCACCGGCGGCGCTGCCAGGGCCCCCCCGGGCGGAGCCGGCGCCCTCCGCTGCCGCCTGCGCGCCCGGCACTTACTGCTGTGGGCGCCCCGCGCGCCCGCCGCGCGGCCGCGGGGAGAGCGGCCACGGGCCGCGCTCTGCGCTGCCGCCGGAGCCAACTTCGTCGCCTTCCAGCCGCGGGGAAAGCGCCTCGTTCTCCTTCCTCTTCAACTAGATACATATATTCATCTTGGAAAAAAAAAAAAAAAAAAAAAAAAAAAAAAAAAAAAAATCTATTCTGGTCTTTCTAAGAGTGGGAAGCTGGGAGGTGGGAAGGGAGGGAAGAAGGAAAAAAGAAACATTTGGAGGCTTTCTCCCCCCACAGCCCCCCCCCCCCAAGATGGCCTGAGAAAAGGGACAGTGATCGTGGTGTGGAGGGGGGAGCAGGAGCCAAGCGCCAGGGAGAGCGAAAGTTGCTGGATATGTATTTCTTTTTAATCTTTAAAAAATGAAATAAAAACCCTTCCTTAGGTTTCCTAAAGGAACCAAACAATTACTAATGAGTGATTAGAGCAAACAGACACAAGGAGGAGAAGAGGAAAAAAAAGGGGGGGGGGAGAAAAAAAAAATACAGAGTTTTGCTGGTCAGTAAACTTCAAGCTGCTGGGATGAGGTCATTGGTGTAAAAATAAAGCGATGGCGTCATTTGAAACCAATCCCAGTGAATGAACTCAGCCGGGAGCGGGGGGAGGGAGGCAGCGGGCGGGGGGAGGATCCGCGCGCGGGGCCGAGCGCAGCCGGAGCCGCCGCGGGCCCGGCCCGGTTCCAGCCCGGTTCCAGCCCGGTTCCACCCGGCCCGGTACCGCCGGCGGGGGCTCGGGGCACCCGCCGCTCGGCTCTGGGCGCCAGGGCACCACGCGGGGAGCCGTGGCGGCCCCATTCGCACCGCGGCTCGGCCTGCCCTTCCTCCTCCTCCTCCTCCTCCTCCTCCTCATTCCCCCTCGCTCCCCTGGCCCCCGCGCAGGCAGCACGGCGCTGCCCGGTGCCTCCTTGACAGCTCCTGCGCTCCGGGGCCTCGCAGGAGCTGCCCTCGTGCAGGGCCTCCGTCCAGGGCTTCCAGTCCTTGGGCTGTGCTGCGAGCTGAGGTGCGCGGAGCACCCTGTGTTGAAAGACAAGAGCTCCCACCCTGCAAATACCTTGTTAAATAAATAAAAGCAGCAACTTGAGGAAGGTGGGAATTTGTCTGGGAATTTTGATATATGTAAACAAAATAATTTTGTCTAACGTATTAATTCTGGCTAGTACAGCCTTTAACAAACCAGCTGCATATACATACTTGAGGGATCTACCAGGATATACTTCCACAACCCTTTTCTAGGAGTTTCAAGAGTAGACTGCAACACCTAAATATTTTTTTTCCTCTCTTTCCCAGAGACATTCCTGACACCATCGCAGAGTACCGTCACTAAGCTAGGCGTCCACGCTGTGTTTGGTAGGCAGGATTCAAGAACTCCATTTAGTTTTATATGCCAACTTTTGAACTCCTCCATGACAAGGCAGGAGAAAGACCTTCATGGCTGTCCCTTCAGAGGAAGCACCTTTGGAAAGGCACAGGACTATTATCCCTGCTGTGCACGATTTCTATTTTGAGAGGGAAGCAACTACAAAACAAATCATGTGGTGGTTGTCCCTATCCTGACAAAACTGGCCAAGAACCACCTTGATGAGGACCCATATTTTAAAAGTTTAGAGATGTCTCTCTTGAAGAAGCTTTGTGAGCACTCAGGTGGATAGCAACTCCCTCTATAAGTGCAAGGGGATGTATAACACTGTAGTACGGTAGAGAGAAGCCTGAACTACCTGAAATACTTGGGCCAAAGGATGACCAAAAGCAGTGAAGAAACTGTAGAAAAGTAACTTAGATTTATTAATTTGTATGTTTGTTTCTTGTAGTAGCTAAAGAATGATGTTGTATTTTTTACCAGTGGCCTTAGAAATACAACCCCCAACTACCCACAGCAGTGGAAGTCAGCACTGACCCAGTTCTGTGAAGAGGAACAGAGAGCATGCCAAAGAAACTCAAGGAGAGAGCCAGTGCCCCGGCTTATTCAGATCAGAGAAGCGCAAGAACAAGCAGTTCCAGTATATTATGCTCACAAATAGAAGTGAGGAAACAGCAGAATAGGAAGAGGAAAGATACTCGAATCCTCTCTTTCTATAATCATCAGAACTTGTTAGCGTGTTATGCAAGGTTTTTTTTCTTTTTTTTTTTTAATTAAAGTCTCAAAAGAAAAACAGAAAAGTTTCCTCACTGTAGAGGTGTAAGAATAATTTTTTTTAAAGTTATTTTGGAATATTTTTGATTTTTAGGAATATTTTTGATTTTTAACTGAAAAAGGACATACATTAAAAGAGAAAGATTAGCACAAGAAATTAAAGTTTATACACTATGGAGTCAGTTTTTTTTTCCTCATGTTATAAAATGTGCAACTAAAACACATTTATATCACATTTAGCTCTCGCAGGCTAAAGTTATTACTGGGAATAACTTTTTAATCTTAGCAGAGTTTGAGAAGAAAGATAGATTTAGGAGCGGTATGCTATAGAGTAACTGGGTCAGTACAACTATGCTGTTTACAGCAGGTAGACTCACCCAAAGCACAAACAGAAGTAGGAGGCTCAGACCAAGAGCATCTGACCTTGATTAAGGTTAAAGGCAATGTGCTTTACCTTCTATTGCAATGAGCTAAGAGCGCACATGTTGGCAGTTAACATGCCTCAACTAGCAGGTGGTCACTCATGAAGGAGCAGTAATTTGTTTGCATGTCAGAGTCTAACTCCAGCCTAATTTTGTGTGCGTGTGAAAGCCTTTCTTTCTCCTGAGCCACTCACACAGCAGACTCCTGAGGATGGTTTGCCCTGCAGTTGCAAACCAGCGATGGAGTCAGACGTTGCTTTCAGCCAACATGCACCTGAACTACCTGTGAGAAACAGCCCTGTGTCCCTATTGCTCACCTTTCCTCCCAGCTGTTTAAAGATATGCTCATTTTAAGAAATGGATTTTGCTAAATTTGTGTTTTTGTTTTTGGCTTTAGCTCACAGCACTCACTGCCTCTTTTTGGCAAAGCAGTACTGAAGGAGTTAAGGTTAATATCCCTTTCCTGTGTCTACTTATCAAGCTCCCAAGATTAGAAGTCCCAAAGTAACTGCGGGTTAAAAAAGGGCAAAAGACATTGTGGTGGGTAACAGGTTATACAACAGTATCTGAACTTTGACACTCCTCCTGTCCTACAAGTTCCTCTTCTACTTCTGACAGCAGCGACTGGGTGTCACTGCTCACTATCCCAGCTGCTGCAGAGGGGCAATAGATAGGCGCTTTTGAGAACTGCAGTGTATAGTTAGCTTACAAAGTTTTCTGCTTATTTACTTGTCAAAGCCGGCATGCATGACATTTTGTTCCTTTTCCACCTAATGGATTTTGTGGCACTTCACTGGGTTAATCAGTTAGCAGCGATTAAACAGGGGAGAGATGAAAGACATTTCGAACCACGTCATCATGATTTCTGCACGGTGGAGAGGAGGGGTTTTCCAAAGGAACCTCTTGCAAAATAAGTGGGAACAGAATTTTAAAATGCAGAATTTATCATGCTTCAAAATCCATGTGTTGCTACTCACTTCCTCCGCAAACTTGGGTTTGCTGAAGGGGTTACAATTCCCTATTAACTCCACAGCAACCATCACAGCTGCCTTCTGCCAAAAGTTACTGTCTGTCCTGTCTACCTGTGAGCTTCACATGCAGTTGCTCTCCAACTTATTTCAGTCAGAGTCAACTAGAATAACTTAGGCAGTTAAAACAGTAGATTTTGTTATTATGATTTTGTCTGAAATGGATTAGGGAAGCCCAAATCAGCAGATGGGAAGTGAGGTGAGGACCATTTCACAGACAGTTTGATGTTTTACATGGTTTGGCCTAATTACATTCAGAGCAGACAGCTATACTAGGCAGAGCTGCTATAAACAGCTCTTTAGGTTATTTAAAGTTAGAAGGGTTGCTGAGATACCTAAAATGAGGAGCTTGTAGCATTTTAAGATACTAGCTTTATTATTTGGGGCAGAACAGCTCTCTGGGGAGCATCAATGGGAACATTTCTCCTCTGTTCCATTAGAAGGATGGAAGCAGGAAGGAATAGAAAATGTAGGACTGCGGGTGGAATAAGAGCAGAAGGTAGAGGAATTAGCAGATGTAATTGAGATACCCTAGAGCTCAGTCTAGAGAGGAGGAATTTCAGCAGGGTGAAAAAAATACAGGCATCAGAGACATGGTGTAGATAGCAGCAAAACTAGGAGAAATAGATGTGTTGAGAACAACTCACATCTCTGCATTCTTCCTTTCTGTGCTTGCATCAGATCTTGGGAAGCTACTCTCTGGAAAACACTCTAATACAAATAGCCTCACTACGAGTTGCTGCAGGTAGTCTTCATACTTTTATCACTTTTCTGAAGGGTCTGTGGCACTTCCAGATACACAGCATATCAAAGAGAGTGGAGGCAAGTGGAAGGTGCTAGGAAAAAGGCAGATGTGTGTTTTTGAACTGGGAGGAAAACCAGGACAATATCCTTGATCTTTGGAACAACAGAGGAGGTATCAGATGATTTAGAAGAGTGGAAGAGAAACCAGCAGTTGTAGGGAGAAATACAAGAACAGAAGCAAATAGAAGGAAAAAGGAAGCAGAGTTGTGAGCATCATCTCTCTGCTTTCTTATATATTCCTATTTCAGAAATCTCTTGTCCATTATTCAGTAAGAATCTTCATGATCACTATACCTGTAATGTCTCCCTCTCTGAACACCCTCAATTTTTATAAGCCTCCTGTGCAGCAGAGAAGTATGGGTACAAGAAAGTTACTGAGACAGAGTAACTCAAGGCAGTACAGCAAGACAGCGCAGCAGAGAGCTGAACCAAGTTCTCTTAAATTCCAAATCTAGCCGCTAGCTCATCCTTTTTCTTCCCTTCTCTCTGATCTCACACACAAAAAATATTTTACCTACCCAAGCAGTCACATTTATTAAAAAAGGCACTTGTGCTGAAGCTTGTTAGTTTAGTCTATAATTAAAAAAAAAAGTATGCATATGAGATAGATAATAAAAGGTGATGAGAAAAGCCCAAAGTAGAAAAAATAACTGCTAGTTCTATAGACAAAGGTTGAGAATCTTTTGATTGAGCCTAATCATCTTAGACTAAAAAAAAGTTGCTACTTTGAAGGTTAAAGTTACCTTTGTGATTACTTTGAAGTGGAAATAGCAAGATTCATTTTGAGAAGCCATTTGAAATTGGAGATCATACTAAATGTTATTTACAGAAAAGGAGCATAATAACACATCATCAGGAAGCAGAATAACAAAATACTGTTTTCAAGAAAGAACAAGTTCAAGCAAATCTAAAGCAAGTGAGAAAACTAACATGTAACATTTCTCACTTTTCTGCTTCTCTGAAGAGAAAATATTTAAATTACAAAAATCAAAATAAATGAAGTGATATATTTAAAAAAAAAACATAAGCACATTCCAGAAATTAAAATAATTCTGTCACAATAAGCACCCCTTCCCACCTTGTTTCCATTATCTCTTACTCACTGCTAGTCACTTGGCTGTAAGCTGACGTTCTTGCATTGAAATCAACTTGTAATGAGCTCTAAGCACACGTGGTGTAAATCAGCATTACTCAACTAACCCTTCAGTTGCTATTCCAATTTATATTAGCTGAAGATTGGCTCAGTATGTTCATGTTTTGTTTATGGCCAATGATGAATCAGAACTAAAATGTATTTTTGATTATTGTGAGGGCATTATAAAATGCATGAGGTCTTTGCTTATTCATATCCTTTTTTTAACTACTTGAATATTTTAAATGATAGCAATTTACCAAGTTTAAATACATTTCAGATAATCCTTTTCATGGAATGAAATATTTTTCTTAACAGTACTGAGGATCTGTTGAAAAAGAACAGTATCCTTAACACGCTTTAAGCCATGAGAAATGGCTTAAACATGAGAAATTAATGTGAAGTTATTTAGAAACATTAAATACACATTTACTGTCTTGGTGGTGTGATGAAGTTAGCCCAATTAGTGCAATCAAAGAAATCATTTCAAAGTTTGAATAGAAAGTCTAAAAATAACCTGTGATATTAAAGACCAACTTCACGTATATTTTTATTTGTTTTCTAGTCATATACTTAAAGGAGGAAATTTTCTAACAGTTTTAGAATTTTCACCATTTCTCCTAATCCACTTTGTTGCTTCAGCCTATTTTTAACAACTCTTGAGATTTACTGATATCCTAAGGCTTTTGAATTTGATATATGGCTGTGTATTTTGTTTCTATTTCCAGGCTGTAATGCTGGGTGATTCCAGGCTGTAATCTGGAGTTGCTATAATGCTGAAGTGAACCTACACTGTTATTTAAATAGACTGTGAGAGAGATCAGTTCATCTTCTGTGAAATTATTAAAATGTATTTAATGGATAAGATGTGCCTTGTATTGAAAAGGAGAGACAAAACCATGTTGGAGACGAAAAATACTTGAGTTTTAAATGAGAAAATAAAATGGAGTTAATTTGTTGTTAGAGAGGAGGAAAAAAAAGGTACTGAGCAGCACATGATTTTTCTTTCTAAACATTCTTGGAATAAAAACATTTGGAGAAAAAAAAAAAAGAAAAGGACTCAACTCTGAACAGCTTCTTGGTTTTGCACGTGCACTGGTCAGAAAACTGTCGATCTGGTACTAGCCCAATTGTCAACAACAGGCAGCAGTTTGTCAAGAAGGACAGGTGAAGATATCAGGTTGCTTGGAAAAGCAGCATGTGAAAATTTCAGAGCTTGGCATTCAATTTTTTTTAGCATGCAAGGTTAGAATATGCCAATTTTAGCAACAATCTGAACTCAAAAAGCTAAGGTGGAGGTGAGGTGAAGGACTGCTTGTTTATTTTGATATTGTCTTCTAGATTACCATTCAGATGATCTGGAACTGGTTGTCTTCAGCGTATTAGGAGCGAGCACAACTCTGTTAGCTGCACAGTGGCTACAGTGTTGAGCTGAAAATCTGGCAAGAACAAGACTTTGTCAAGTGCTTGCAGAATGTCTCATCCAACGGACTTTGCTATTTCTTCTACCGGTAGCTAGGGGAAAGAATCATTAACAAATCATTAAAAAGATATTTCAAGTTGCTGATGGGGAGTTCTGAATAAACACATGTTTATATTTGCGCTCACTTAAAATGTAAATGGAGTATTATGACATCCAATGGGAGAGAAGTTTTTTTCTAAGAAGGGGAATTTCAAGTAGAGGACATGATTTTCCTAGACTTTTATTTGGAACTGTATAAGCACAGAAGAACTTCTTACACAACATCATATGAGGATAGATCCTTTTGTGTTCCAGTCAGTGGAGGCATTTATGTGAAAATGTTAGATGCAATCTGAATTGCCAAATATAAAAGGAAAAAGAGGTTCCTGTTAGAAGGGCTTGTCTAATTACTAAGTTGCAGAAATTGTATGTTTATTCATCTGTTATTCTGTACTAGGAGTTACAATTAAATGATGTCAGCTACTGCTAAAGAAAAGCGACTGTTATAACGGATGATTCATTTTAAATACCTTTTAATCATATAGCTCC